CATTTCTGGAGTCACTGTAACCAGATACCAGTGAATGGCTGTGGAATTAAATCACTTACACAGTAAAGATGATATCTTGTAATTTATTTTCTTCTTTCTTCTTTCCCCCCCTGAGGTAGGTTAGGTTGTAATAATCTTTCCTGCAAAAGAGAGCTGTAGTAATGTCAACACAAGAGACATTCACTTCTAGAAGAACAAGCATAATGAGCCTCTGACTAAGAGCAAACCACAAAAAATAATGCTAAGACCCTGCACAGGAAGAGTGCAAAATGTCACGACATACCACAAGTGTCATCCATGACAACGGGCAGTCTCAATTTGTTAGTTAGACGTTACCTTAAATGCTGCTGTTCTTTCATTGCTGTCTGCTGATGACAACCAATTAGCTGCACTGTGAGTTGAGAATAGTTAAAGAATAAGAATAACTTTATTGATCCTAAAGGGAAAGTAACCAATCTACTTAGCCCTCTAAATACATCTCAGCATTACTGTAACATGAACAGTCCGAAAAAAGAAAGAAAAGCCGCTGCAACTCTGAAAGTCTCCATGTGTTCAACAACTGACATATATTATGCCCCTATCATGGTCTAAACCAGTCAGAAATAGTGAGGGGTGGGACCTCTCTAATTAGCCGCAGTCCAGATATTCCTGTAGTCCTTCGTGTGTACGTTTGAAAGTGCAGGCAGATAGATAGAGGTGAGTAGCTTGAATAAAGAGAAATCAATTCATTAAATCCTGAATCGACTTTTAAATATAAATGTATTTTGCCAGAAACGCCAGAATCTCAGATTAAAGCTCACAAAACTATTTCAACAACGTAAGCACAGAGCGCGGATGCGCGCTTTGTGTTTACATCCTTTTTGCGCTAGGTTTTGTCTCTCTTTAACCAAAATTCACTGAACCAGCAGCAAAAGAAGATTCAAACTACGCTTCACATTTGATAAATGTCGTCATTAATTCTCTCTTACTTTTGCTGTTTTGCTTCCACCACGTTAAAATCATACTTCATGCACAGCTCTCTCTCTCGCAGTGTACTTTAAGAACAGTTTCCCATCGCAAACGGGTCATCAGAGGAGGTCGATGTGATGATTACAGTTTTTTCTGATTGCTTAAGCACATTTTTTGTAACTATTGGCTAATTTTGCAAAACTCTTCACACAAATAAGAAAACCTGTCACCCAATAATCAAAACATTGTAGTTCTCTTGCAAAAGCAAACACAGCTAGATTAACTCTTCACACCTTCGTAAAAATGGTGTTTCCGTATCAAACAGTACACACAAGCCATCATCTACTAAGCACACAATGCGCCAACTGCACACTGATGGTATGAATACAAAACACATCTGGCTTTTGCTTTCTCTGTGCACAAGGTAGGCTATGTCAGTTTGAGCTCATACTTCTGTCATAGATCCATAAGCATAGAGGGATCCAAACTTCAAGTACTGGTGTTTATTCAAACACATCAAAACAAACACAAGTGTTTATTTCCAAGTATAGGATTATTTGCAATCGCCATAATGACTATATGGGTTACTTGGTCTGCAGTGAACATGCTTCCTCTGCCCCCAGCATCTGGTCATCTAGCAATTCTGTAAAGTAACAATTTCAGTATTTTTACATCAATGGTATTGGTGTGTTTCTCATTGGCATATGGCAGTGCTACAAATCTTTGTGCGAAGTGACTGTACTAACCGATTCTCATTTCAAGATGTCCTTATGGTCTTGCTCAGTGTAGCGGCTCGAGTTAGGCTGGACCCGTTGGCCAGCTACCCTCAGGGTCATTCCACGGTTGATTACATGGTCCACTATTGTAGCTCTGATGTCATCAGCAATTCTATTTCTTACTCTTCCTACCCTTCCTCTCCCCCCTCCTCATCTTCCTCTCCCCCCTCCTCATCTTCCTCTCCCCCCTCCTCGTCTTCCTCTTGCTCCTCCTTGTCCTTGTCGTCCTCTTCATCCTACTTCTTCACCTCCACGTCCTCTTCCTCGGCCTCCTCTACTTCTCACTCTTTCTGCTCCCTCCATTGTACTCCGCACACACAGCTTACCTGTATTATAGTGCTTAGGCTGATTGCAAAGTGAACTAATTATCTAAAAAAGTTTTCACATGTGAAAGTGTGCCAGACAGTTGGCAAATTAGTGTTAATGATAGCCATACATGTGTATACTTTTGCTAGGAGTGTGTTGGAAATTTGGTAATTGAGTGTTGTGCAGTGAATTGTGCCTACAGTTTTGCAAAGTGTGTGTTACAAAATTGCAAACTGAGTGCAAAGCAGTTTTTGTGCTTTTAGTTTTGCAAACTCAGTGAGTGGTTTTGCTATAAGTCTGAATAGTTTTAGAGATTGTGCTACAGGAATCACAGTTAGGGTTTAAGCATTCAGAAAAAACTGTATTTAAGTTTTTCTCAAATGCTAAAACACATGTCACAAACGTTACCACCAGGTCCCCCAATGTCCAAACACAACACCCTTCTCTAAAGCTACATAAACACAACCACACCTTCCCACTGCAAAACTCAAACTCCCACACCAAGAGAGCAGCTCGAAGCTGTCAAAACTGTAAACACTATACACAGCATTACACACTACAGCAAAACAATTGAAAACACAATGCTCAATTTGTGAGAAGGTTCTTTGTTTCATAACTGCCAATGCATATTTTAGAAACTATACAGTAACGGATCGTCGTAGATCTCTGCAGAGGATTAGGCATTTAGATTTGTGAGTTTCATATGAGTAGTATAAATCTATAGAAAATCCTGCATGTACGTACACTACTGTAACACAACTCAATGCAAAAACAGAATCTATTGCACACAACAGTAATCTTGAAAACATGAACAGGGTGTGAAGTTTTTTTATTTACGTTATTCACACCACACACACACCACAATCACTGTGCGGCATCATGTCGCTGAGCTGTTGCTCGCATCTCGTCCGTAATGATGGTGCGAGGTTGTCTTGCTCTCCCTCCTGGACCTTCTCCTCTCCCATGTTGGCCTTCTCCTCTTCCTCGTTGGTCGCTCCTCTTCCTCCTCTCATTTGAACTCCTCTTCCTCATTGGCCTGCTCCTCTTCTTCCAGGGCCAGCTCTTCTCCCTCCTCTGCATCAAATTCCTCTTCCCCTGACTCTGCCTTCATCCATTGTGTTTGTTTGGACATCTTCAGCATACTGTGCACTCTGAACTTGCTTTTACATGTGGGTACAGCATTAGCAACAAGTGTCTTCAATTTTGAGTCATTGTGTGTAGTGAATGACGCCAGGTGTGTTCCCTGTGTTCAAAGATTGGTGACTGTGGCAAGCATTTTGCATCACATGGGCTTTCATTTGAGAATATGAGCAGAGTTGTTTTGCAACATGTGTTTTAGCAAGGAAAAATGTGTTTAGATTTATGAGTACAGAGGGTTGTGTTTTGTGAATTGTGTCTTCATGTGACATGTGTTTATGGTACTGGAATATGGTGGCTACATTTAGTAAATGTGTTTAGACTACTGGTCATTTGGGTTACAGGATTGGCTTTTGTGTTTTAACATTTGAGAAAAACTGTAATTGTGAACCAAGAGTCCAGCACTTTAAACACAGGCACTTTTTCAGTAACTTGTTGACAAGATTGTTATTTAATCATTTACAGACAATATTGTCTGTATGGACGGCCCAAAAAGTGCACATGTAAAATGTAAATGGTAAATGGCCTGCATTTGTATAGCGCTTTTCTAGTCCCTAAGGACCCCAAAGCGCTTCACACTACATTCAGTCATTCACCCATTCACACACACATTCACACACTGGCGATGGCAAGCTACATTGTAGCCACAGCTGCGGTGTCAAGCGATGCGCTTGAAAAATTTGGCTGCGCCTAACTTTTAGGCGCACCAGCCCTCTGACAAAAAGTTAGTCTAGAGGCCTGCTCTCATGTGCTTTTATGTATGCTAGGGCACGCTCCCAATGAGATGACAGAGGGTGTCCTGGGGGGGTCTCCTACAAGAGGTGACCAGGGCATAACTGGTTTCATGGACAGTCTGCAGCGTAACCTGGTGGTGTCAGATGTACCTAAACAAAATTTCCCACAGCTGTTCTTTTGAATTTAGGTCAGTCGAGCGTTGGGGGCCAGTATCAGTTTCTTCATCCTCTTGGATCTCTTGCTACATGAGGCCTGGCATTGTGGTTCACCAGGAGGAACCCAGGACCCACTCGGTCTATTTTGTCACGGAACTGGGTTTGCGATCCAGTGTTTTGTGTGTTTTCGTTTTATTCTTTGATTATTGTTATTTTCACGGTGTTTCCTGGTTTATTTTGAAAGAGTCTTGTGTGTCTTTATCATTGTTTTTTGTTTCACTTCCTCTGTGGTGTCATTATGTTCGTTCTAGTCAGCTGTTTCCCCTGTGTTTCCACTTCTTCTGATCACCTCCTGTGTGTATGTAAGTCCCCTGTCTTCCTTTGTTGATTGTCAGGTCGTCTGTTTACCATCCACGTCTCATCTTAGTATTCATAGTCTTCATTGTGGTTTCATAGTTTTCATTGTTTTCATAGTTAGTATTAGTTCTTTCCAGTTTAGGTGTTAGTTTAGTTCTCGTCACTGTTCATGTTGTTTGCACTTTTCATCGTCAGCCCTAATGAAGGCTCGCTTTCGTTTCCTCTCTCAGTGTCTGCATTTGGGTCTATATTCAAAACACACCAGCGTACCCCACTGTGACATATTTATTGTGTTCAACAGACTCAATAAACTGATTGGCAAAGCCAGAAATGATGTGGGGATGGAGCTGGACTTTCTTACTGTGGTGTCAGAGAGGCAGACGCTTTCCAACATAAGGACAACGCTGGACAATACCTTGCACCCACTCCATAACGTGCTAGCTAATCACAGGAGCACATTCAGCGAGAGACTGAGATTACCCAAATGCACCACTGAATGACATCATATTTTTACTGTTTTACTGTCACTCAAGTTCATATGTGTGTGAAGGTAGACAAACAAATACTGTTGGCAATACAGTGTCGATCAATTATTAGTAAACAGTACAAACATAAACAAATTATTTTTTAGTTTGCTTTACACATTGTCCAAACATGGTTTTTGAATAGTAACTTAAAAAAAATTAAGTCTCAGCTGTATCCTGCTGACCAGCCTACACATTTCTCTCAATTGTCCCATAAGTTTGAATGAGTGGTGTGTGATAGAGACACGGCAGGTCCAGAGAGTGTTAGGCAAAGCCATCGTTATTGCACACTCGGCTGCACCTCTCAGCTGTCAGCCGCACATTCATCACACCACAACTCACAACAACCCCTGCTTCCCCGTGTTTTTAACACGGCAGGCGTGATTGCGGATGCCGTGCAGGTGGGTCCGCACGGCACCACTGACCATGCCTCACCACAGATACTATTTCATGAAATATGGACGTTTTTAAAGCACAGAATGAAAATTACAACAATCTAAGTTTAGTTTAACAGTCAAGCCAAGGACAATGAAGTATTCATCCATGGGAAATACACCAAGTCAAATTTCTCACGGTCAAAAGGTGGGTAAGTATATGTGTGTGTTCTTGTTGTTGTTGTTGTTATTGGTGGTGATGGTGAATGGGGTAAGGTTGGTAATGATATATTTGATCACAACCTTAGAATTGTTTAGGAGCCCACTTTGCTGACTTGTTAATTTCAGTTGTCAGACCACATCCTTTCAGCTCTCTGTATAAAGCTGAGCGTCACGGTATCAGTGCATTCAACATCTATGAGAGACAAAGGGCAAAATGTTCTGCCAGAGTTATTTCAGTGTTTTCGTTTCATGCATGCTCCTCGTGATCATCCAGCCAGGTGATTAATATTTTATGTGGTACTTTAATTTACCTGTAGACAATTTTCTCATTCATTTAAATAAGCAGAATGCATACTCGGCATTACAAAAGCAGTTGGTGAAGGGTATTTGTTTCACTCATCTGTTTTTGACTGCATCATCTGCTGAATTTGTTATGTGATGGATATTTTCTTTTTGTTTTAGGTGGTGGGTCTGAGATTATTGGAGGGAAAGAAGTCGAGCCACACTCGTTGCCTTTCATGGCCTATGTGGAAAGCAAAAAATCTTTCTGTGGAGGGACGTTAATCCATCCACAATGGGTCCTGACTGCTGCCCACTGCAAAGAGTAGGAATGCTTCACATTATTGTAATATTTATGTTTAACTGACGGTGTGAAAGATAATACATAAAGAGATTTCACAAGAGATCAGAAGGAAAAAGTCTTTATTATAATTATTAATGTAAAAATTTTTGTTATTTTTTTATTTATAGATTGTCCATATTCTTGTAGTAATTAATATCTTCACAGAGAATTTTGCACTAGTCATTGTCATATTTTTTTTTTTTGCATTTTTTAGAATTTCTTCATTTCCTTATCATAGATACAAATCAAATTGGCATCAAACATATTGTCTGTTGTTTTTATAGAAAAGCCTGCAAAACACAAGTAGATTTGTCTGCATTGCACATAAATATTGATGTTGGCCATAATCCAAATGAGAAAAAAAAGATTAAATGTTTATCTAAACAGTGTGGTAATCACTGTTTAGAGACTGCACTCAGAAATTTCATAACTGAAAAATGTTATATCATTGAAATTCTTTATTCACCTGGAGGAAGACACCATGCAGCTTTATCTATGTCTCTAAAATAACCATAACCCAACTATATACAATAATACACATATAATGAAATAACTGTGCAGCTATGATAATGTTATAACTGTTTTATTTAAAAGGGTTAATCTGACCTATTAATCTTTTTTATAAGTGAACTTTCACTAATACATTTTTTTTTTCTTCTACAGTATGAGTAAAGTGACGCTGGGAGCACACTCGATCAAGAAAAAAGAAAAAGCTTCTAAGCAGGCCCAAAAGGTTGATAAATGTTTTCCTCATCCTGACTATTACCAGGGATCCAGGGAGAATGACCTCATGTTGCTCAAGGTAAAGTGATCATTCATTGTCTGAAACCAAGTTAAAAAAAAAGATTCATTTATGTGAATACGTTTGTTTTTAATCTTATATGATGTATTTCTGTGTGTGTGTATGGATAAATCAATAAATCGCTGTGCCTATTTATACATTTTCCAAGCAAAATGTACAAATATGTCACGGCGAATGGATCCGACTCAGGCTCAGACTGGAATCACAAGTTAGCAGTTCTTTTATTTACACAAAACACCAGGTGCAGAATATATATACAGATGGAAGGAAAGCCAGGGGTTCCAGTGGTCTACCGGGTAGGTTTAGGGGAAAGAATCAGATCCTTCTCACTCGTTCGCTCTGTTTGAGACTTCCACATGCACGCCACTCCAAACTGCCAACATCCACGTTTAAGTTTCCACGGTTTGGGAAGTCTAAGCACAGAGAGACGAAAGTCACAAATAGGTTCATACACAAGCACACTAGAATTCACCGAGCTGGATTTACACTAACGTATCAAACTCAATAGTCCAGCGATGAGGAGCTCAGAGCCACTGCTTTAAGAAGTGGCCCGAGATTAGGAGCAGGTGCGTGGTCCAAAAGCAGAAGCTTGGAGTGAGCTCCACCCAGGCAGAGCAGTGAGAGAGCAAAACCAAAACACATGTAGCCTTGCGGGGCCGACCATGACTAAATAAATGAGTGGTGTGTCAAGACTGTAGCACAGTGCTGTATATATACAAAATTTAAGGCCAGCTCTCTAAAGTTAATATAGTCATTATCAATATCTTTCTTTTTAATTTTGTTTCAGTTGAAGAAACCAGTAAAGCAAACCAAGACAGTACAATGGCTCCAGTTAGCCAGAGTTGTCAAGGACCCTCCAGCTGGAAGCAAGTGTCTGGTTGCTGGATGGGGAAAAACTGAAAACAAGAAAACATCAGATGTTCTCCTGTCTGTCAATGTGACTGTGGTCAGTAGACAGACATGCAACTCTCGTGATTATTACAACCACAACCCAGTTATCACCAGTGACATGATATGTGCTGGTTCAAATAGTGAAAAACAGGCTGATACCTGTCAAGTAAGTATATAGAAAGTATGTAAGGAAGTAAATATCTATATTAAAATATCCATCCAACTCAACACCTTTTTGTTCTTTTGTCAGGGCGATTCAGGAGGACCTTTTGTGTGCGATGGCGTGCTGGTTGGCGTCACTTCTTTTGGAAGAGGTTGTGGTATCATTAAAAAACCTGGAGTCTACTCGTTTCTCTCAGAGAAACGGCTCAAGTGGATCAAAAAAACAATGCAATCCTCAGAAATGTTATGAACCCACAGGTGTCAATCCATACAAGCTGAGCAAGAAGCAAATCTTTTCTTTGATTATAAATGTCCATGCTTTTAATGTAGATTGCTTACTTGACCATTATCCATTTTATCATTTCATATTCTATTTTCTGATATTTCAGTTTCTGTTAGCTTGATGAAATTCTCTTTCATCTATGAAAAATGTTTTTTGAGCATGCTCTTTTATGTTGATTTTTTATTCCATCTATCTTTGCTTAAAAACCCCCATAAGTTTGCGGGGAAAGCCTTGTGGAGGAGACATAAGGACCCAGAATGCAGGCAAGGCTGAGATGTGAGTGAACTTTGTTGCAGGAGGGTGACATACAACCAAAAGTGAGGGTGCAAAAAACAGAAGTAAGAAAGACTCTCAACCGAGAAAACTAATGAAACAAAACTCAAACCTAAATTTGCAGGAGAACATGGGGAAAGAAACACAGAATGAAGCAGGGCGGTAAGACAGCATGGAGGGAGACAGACAGACCAGTAACAAGCAGGATAAAACACAGGGTTTATATACAGACAGGAGCGATCAGGGAATGAGAAACAGGAGGGAGACACAGCTGGGGTAAATTATACATAACGAGAAAGGGGAAGCAAAACTACACTCACTGCATGTAGGACGGGGACTATCAAAATAAAACTGGAAACGAGACAATTAAAAAGACGAGGACTTGACACTGAGAGACAGACTGAAAGAATATGACACATGGAGGAAGACAGTGACTTAAACTAGAAACCAGAACAGCAAATAACATCAAGAGAACACTGGGAAACACCAAGGACCATGACAATAAGATATTTTTATAAACCTTCTACTTCATAATATAGCTGGAGGCATTCTCTCTTTCTTTCATTGTTTGTAACTCTGTCATCTTTTTACTCCTATACATACACCACAGCAGACAAATGCTAGGTTTCTATACAGGAAGAGTGCACAATTTCCCCAAAGCCCACTAGACTATGACTAGGACTAGGACTTACTCAGCGTGCACATTTTCAGAGGACATGCCAGTACTACGTTCATGATCTATATATATCATATATGCCCCAACACTCTTTCAATTATCATTTCAAGGCCTCTTTTTTTCCAAATAACACAATGTAGTTATTATTCATTATGATACATTTGACCACAGGTGTTAAATTAATATTCAAGGTTTTATTGTTTCATGTGTGGTGCAACACCATGTGATACATAGCTACTAATCAAAAAGTGATGTGTTATGTGGACCCATGAATATAAGTATTGATACATTTGCAGAGGAGCAGGACAAGTTGACTGCAGTAGAGAGCAGCACAATGATAATTTTATTCATAATGAAATCGATTTTGACAGGAGCTTTCTAAACCAAAGTTAGAAGGTGCTTCACTTAATTTACCAAAAACTGAATTAAAAACATTATGAAGAAAATGAAAATTCATAACACAAGAAAATACACAAACAAAAAAAGCAAATACAAAAAAAGATGAAGAAAGCAGGGAAGAAATTTTGAGATGAGAAATATTCTACAAAAGCCAATCTCTACAGGTGGATTTTTAAAATTTGATTTGATTGTTTTCCATATATGTGTAACTGACTGTGCTCACCTAACAGTAAGAGGATGTTTGTGCCACAGTCTTTTAGCTATTAGAGTGAAAGCACAGTCCACCTTTGCTTCAAGTATGTGAACTGTCCAGCTGTCCAGTTAGAGTCTGTTGGTGATAGCGACCGAGTTGTGGTCAGATGTCTACGCAAAATGATTGTGGGCAATAATCTCAAAGTAATTTGGGGCTTTTTAAATAAAATATATTTATATTAGGGGCTTTTAAGGAATAAGGTGCTGTTAAAAAAGACCAGTTGAAGACATGTAGTAATTGTTCTCAGATCAGATTTGAATCCAGGCTTCTGTATCAATCTTTTGGCAAACAGGCACTGTTTATCTTGCTAAAGTGGCATCCTATTTTTTGAACTTATTATCATTTCTTTGAATTTGTCTTTTTCTAGTATAAAATTATTTTATAGCATATATTTTATGATATTTTAGTTTTTGTTCACATTTTTTATTTATCTATTTATAAACTCTGTACATGTTAGTCCTTTCCACTTCAGGTATCAGATGGCACAAACATTAAGAGGAGTGATCCCTTAAAAACCATTTTAGCCTCAGACACAGTCACTGTAATTGTTGACGCATCATTGTTTGGCATTTTTGCTGTTGTTACTGCAGTAACTGCATAAAAGTGGACGCACATAGCTTCCAGACTTGAAAGCCAATCCAAAAGTGCTTCAAACCTGCATTTTTTCTGATGGCCAGCAGGCGGTGACACCTTTGTTTACAGGGGCAATTATCAGTTTGTTAGTGCATATATATATTCTTAAATTCCTGTATATTTTGTTATACTTTAAGGATGTTCAGTTTATTAGACTGAATCATGTTGGAATGAAACAAAGTTGTCATGTTTTCACCTGAATTTTATTTTACATTTGATTAAAAAAATATTTTTTCCAATTTGAATGTAATACATCAGTAATGTATGAAACTTATACTATTGTATTACATGTATTAAATGTATTACATGTGATGTGTAAAACACGTACTCCACATGTAATGTGAAACAGTTGTCACAGGGTGTTCATTTCAGTCATCTGTTCTTGAATTCATCATGTGATCATTTTGTTATGTGACTGGATATTTTCATCTTGCTTTAGGTCATGGTTCTGAGATTGTTGGAGGGAACGAAGTCGAGCCACACTCACTGCCTTTCATGGCTCGTGTGAGAAGTGCTCGATTTATGTGTGGCGGGATATTAATCCATCCACAATGTGTCCTGACAGCTCCCCAATGCAGAGAGTAGGAATGTTTACTTTCTTAAAATTTCAAAATATTGCAATATTTATCTTTAAGTGACTGTGTGAAAGATGATACATAAAGAGATTTAACAAGAGATCACAAGGAAAAAGTCTGTAAGACATGATTTGATCTGACAGCTTGGCAGATTAATGAAAATAGCAAACACAAAATAATCTTCTTTAAAGGTATTTTATTTTACATTTGGTTCAGAACTGGAATAAGAAAGTAGATACTAAACTATGTCAGTTTATTTTGCCCAGAATCTTTTCAAGCATCATATAAAATGCTTTATTATAATTATTAATGTAAAACTTTATTATTATTTTTCTATTTAACCTTTATTTAACCAGGAAGATCCCATTGAGATTAAAAGCCTCTTTTTCAAGGGAGACTTGGCCAAGATAGGCAGCAGCAAGTGTCTCACAGTTACAAAAATTACATAATTAAACACACATGCAAAAATAAATAATTAAATAAAAATAAAATTCAAATAAAATAAAATAAAAATGACAAACAATCTAATTAAAACACTTGCATGTTATGGACTTGGCCTCAACGATTCTTAGTTTTGATTTAAAAGCACTAAATGAAATGAATTCAGTCATTTTCCAGTAGTCACGCAATTCGTTCCAAACCAAGGGTGCTAAATGGAAAAAAGCTCTTTTGCCAACTTCAGTTTGGGCAAATGGAACAGAAAACAACAAGTAACCTTGCGGATGAAGAGAATAACACCCAGCAGCTTTCATTGCAAGCAGGGAACATACACAGGAAGGCAGCAATCCAAGCATTGCCTTATATATAAAACTGTATAAATGAGAGTTCCTCCGACTGGTCAAAGCAGGCCATCCAACCTGAGAGTATAACTAAGGTAGGATTTATGGTTAGTGACGAACCTCACAGAAGTGTGATACACAGTACCAACCATTTGAAGACATTGAGCAGAATCATTCATATATAGAACATCTCCATAATCCAGCACAGGTAAAAATGTTGCAGCAATATGCATTAAATGAAACACAACTTACTTTTGAAAATAAAAACTCAGTTTAAACTTCAGTTTTTTCATGAGATTCTCTATATGTGGTTTGAAGGTGAGCAAGTCATCAATCAAGATACCCAGATATTTATACGTGTGAACCAACTCTATTTTATTACCCTCAAGAGTGGTTACTTGAAGAAATCATTTGGGCCCATTTCCTTGATTTAGAAAACAACATGAGCTGTGTTTTGCCTAAATTGAGAACAAGTTTAAGCTGAAGTAATGAGTGCTGGACAGTAAAAAAGGCTTTCTGTTAGGAATGAAAAGCTTCATGTCCTGTTACAAATACATTGGAGGATGTACAACAGCAATGATGCATGTAGACTGTGGACCATCTAAGGCTGTACAAACCTAGATTGGCAAGTAAGGCTCCAGCCAGAAGCTCAAGTGCTGGTGCAAAGCAGATGGCTTCTGCTAGCAACACATGCACCGATGTGGTGTAGAGGGCTTGAGTCAACAGCACAGGGCCCGATGTGATGCAGATGAGCTTCTGCTAACAGTAAACGCCTTGGAGTAAAGTAGCTGGTTCCAACTAGTGGCACACGTCTTGGTGTGGTGCAGATTGCCTCATCTAGCAGCACTTGCCCTGGTGTGATACAAATGGATCCAGCAAGCAGCAAAGGCCTCAGTGTGGTGTAGATCAGCGGTCCCCAACATTGTTTGTGCCACGGACAGGTTTATGTCCAACAATATTTTCATGGGTTGGTCTTTAGGGGGATGAAGATAGATAATTACAACAAAATAAAACCAGTACTGGTACCAAAAAAAAAAAGAGAAGATTTATTCATAACACGGGAAAAGACCCAGGGAAACCGAGCTAACGATAAAAACAATTTTAAAAAACATAATGATAAAAACTGATAAAAACCCTGAAGACCATCAATTTCACACCCGAGCCTCAACTCTCACAGCTCGGTACCAAACGACTCACTGACAAGTACCGGTCCGTGCATCGGGGTTTGGGGACCGCTGGTGTAGATGAGAACGTGTTGAGATGGCCTCAGCGCGCAGCACAGGCCCTGGTGAGGCTCAGATGGTTTCTGCTAGCAGCAAAGGCCCTGGTGTGGTACAGACAACTTCTAGTAGTAGCAGAGGCCCCCCAAAATAGGCCCCTTTCCAAAAATTTACAGGATAATTTAAAATACCCTTAAAAACCTTGTTGGAAAAAATGAAAATGCATTAGAAATAGTAAACAAAACAAAACAAAAAACAGCAACAACAAAAACAAATTCAAAGCAGACATTCAACAAGGAGACATGCTGCTGCCATCTCAGTCTGCTCATCTCCGACATATTTAAAGCTACAATATCTATTCAATACATCACAGCTACATACACATGAAATATGTAATAGATTTATAATCTAAAACATTTTATAATGTTGAAATTTTCATTTAGCTGTGGGAAAATATCTTGAAATTCATTTAAGGCTCAGTAACAGTGCAGGTGAAATTTTCCAAATATGATGAAGAAAATGTAATTATTTTATGTTTGTTTTACACACTCCTGATTCATTACCATTTTATATACATGAACTGTTTTTGTTTACAGTATGACTCAAGTGATCCTGGGATCACACTCCTGCAGGAATGGGGAATGTGATTCTCGGCAGGTCAGAGAAATTGAGAAACAATTTCCTCATCCTGACTATGACATGCATTCAATGGCAATGACCTCATGTTGCTCAAGGTAGGTTAATAAATCACTGGTCTGGGTCTTCCTGATACCCAGCCGCTGACAGACCTCCTTGAATACCACAGCCTCAAAATTCCGGCCCTGGTCGCTGTGCAGTTCCTCCAAACCGACAAAACATCTCGCTCAGCGGTGGTAACAGCACTCTGGTCAGGGACTGCATAGGCCTCAGGCCACTTAGTGAAGTAGTCCATGGCAACCAGGACGTAGCGGTTCCCCAGGATGTCCACTCCAACCCGCTCCATGGGAGCCCCCACCTGATACTGTTGCAAGGGGGCATGAAAGCGTTGGGAAGGCCCTTTCAGAGCCGTGCAAGCACCGCACCAATGGACATGGAGCTCTACGTCCTGGCGACACCCGGGCCAGTAGAACCGAGACCGAAGTCGCCGCAGAGTCTTGGTAACCCCAAAGTGTCTTGCCCCCGCCGCACAATGGACCAGCTGGAGGACCCTGGACCACAACTGTTGAGGTACCAAGAGCTGGAAGACCTCATGGTGACCCCCGGGAGCCTGCCAACGGCAGTAGAGGAGGCCGTTCCGCTGACTCCCATCAGCAATTGGAAGTACTTAGGGCCAGAGAAAGGTGAGCTCTAGTGTTAGAGAGACTTGTTGGATTGCAGCTAGTGAGCTGTGTGTTTGGTGATTGATTGCTCCTGCTCTGTGGAGAGGAGTGTGTATGTGTGCGTGTGTGCATGTGCCCGCATGTTACTTACTTTTCAGTTTATTGACCAACACCTGAGTTTTGTTTTGTTGCTTCAAAAAGTGATAGTGGCTTGTCTGTCTCCTTTAGTTATTAGTTATTAATAGAAACATTAATAAAACTCTTTAATTTAACGATTCTGCTTCCCGGCCTCCTTTTTTCAATCTTGACAGCTTTTGTTACTTTCCCTCATCCCCTATACCTTTTTTAGGGGAACGTAACACAATTACAAAAAGAAAGTCATCAGTTGCCTAGTACAGCCATTGACCGCCCTACATTCCACCGTGTGTGCCCAGGGAATGCTATAACCTGTATGTACGGACTTTCGAATATCCACAAAGAAGTCCCACTCACATCCATCGTTAGCAGTATGAACTCAGCCACTTACAACAATTCCAAGCACCGCGGCACCATTCTAGCTCCCCTTGTGGGGAACACAGCCCATCACATCAAAACCTCTACTGACTTCACCAACAAGGTTAAAAAACCTACACTGGATCCAGGTAAAATCAAATTGTCCTTTGATGGGCTCTCCCTTTTAACTTGTATCCCTAAAACCGAGGCAGTGCAGACTGTGAGAAAACAACTACAGCTCCTTAGAAAAGAGGACCAACTTTACCCCTGATCAGATTTGTACACTGTTAGGCCTTAACACCGCATGAAGCTTATGCGTAAGTTCAATAAAGAAGATCTATGGTGTCACATCTGTCTGCTTCCAGGTGTTGCTAGCTAAATCAAAACTTCACATCACTTCCACTTTCCCATGCTGTCAAACTGATTGTGACATCACTCTCGCCCCTCGTCCTCTCTTGTCCCTTGCTATTTCCCCCTTGCCAGCCTCTCTTGTCCCTCTCCCTCTCTTTTTCCTCACTCTGTCGCTCGCCCTCTCTCTCACCCTCGCTCTCTGTCCCTTGCTCTCCTCCCTCTGTTCCCTGGGTTTTCTTCTGTCTGTGTCCCAGTGTGTGTTTCTCATACTTCCTGTTTTAGTTTGACAGTCTCTTGTCCTTTGTGTTCCAAGTTCAGTTGTTCTTCCCCTGTGTCGTTAGTTAGATTACGTTCTAACTATCCATCTATTCCATCAGTCACGACTCCCCATCGTGACTGATGGAACTGTGGGCAACAGCATAGCAGGCCCAGCAGGCGTGACAACCTCAAACAGAGACGAAGCAAAACCAGCAG